TTATAATTGCCGCATTTGTCCCTTCACTTTCCTCTCTCCATACTCTCTCATATACCCCTTCTTGTTCTCTTTCAAAACCATGACTTCTTTTTCATTAATTGTTGTTACCTGCAAATATGCATATAAACATACATAGCCTTTTTAGAAGGAAATGGACCTGTCATCAACATTTCAGATTTATAACTTGAAAGCATTTGTACGGTTTTCTAAATTGCCTCACTGTAATTGACTATTCAAGAGCAATCTGCCACCTTTGTTTACCTCAAGGATTTATTCAACTTTCTATTTTTGTTTATTTTTAAATTTCATTTTGTTCTTCTTTTAATGTTAACTCTACATATGATAATGTGTTAGACACAAATTAGAGAATAGTGTTATTGGAAGGTAAAGAAAAGTGTGAGTGACTTTAGTAGCACAGTTCACACTTGAAGATACATCAGAATTTATCTTGGTATTATACACATTTTTAAAATTTCCAGTGAAAATGAATTCTGCAGTTGGACTTTCTCATCAACTCCAGAATACTGTGTGATAACACACTTAATGGAAAGAGCAGAAGCCCCAGATTAAAAAACCTAACTCCAAGTACACCTCTACCACAACCAAATGTATATCCAGTCTCAATACTCACATTCTTTAAGTCCATAGCAGAAAGCAATTTAAAGCTAGGTACTATTGTTTCCATTCCTTGTTGGGTTTGTGTGCCCCATCAAGATTTGAAAGCATCTCAGAACACCATCTTTCATGAGTTTATATATGGTATTCATCTTAATATCAAGTCCATGTATCTGTAATCAGGTTGTACAACATCTACTTTTTTATGTGTCGTTGAAACTGATGGTGTGCAGGCAGGCAAGTCCCACAGAGGCTCTTCAGCAACTGGGAATCAAGTGTTCAGTTGGGAACTATGTCCATACTCCAGGAAACAAAGGGTTAATCTTTAGGTAGGGTACTTCTGAGAAAGGAATGGAACTAGAAGGTAAGCATAATATTATCTTCAAAAGAGATTTTACTCTATGAAAAAAATGTTTATATTCTTCCCTACATATTTTTATACTATCTATAATTAAAGTAGCCATGCTCTTTGCAAGGAATTGCAAGAAAATCAGTGAAAAATAGGATAATGAATTTTGGGGTTGATATTATTATTATTTTTCTTTGAAGCATTGAAAGTTTGACTCTGTCTGACATGAATGATAATAAAATATAAGAAAACTAAATTTCTTTAGTGTCAAGAATAAATGTAATGGGAGATGTCATTCTGTATATGTTTCTCATACTGGTTAATAATAAAGCACCATTGGCCAATAGGAAAGAAAGATAGGAGAGACAAGGAGGAAATAAGAAGTAGTAAGGAGGAGTCAAGATGGAGAGTCTGGAGAGAGCAGTACGCAGCAGCCGGCTCTGGGTAAGAAGACCACGTGGAAATACATAGATTAACACAAATGGGTTAATACTTAAGACAGAGCTAGCCGATAAGAAAGTAGTAACTGGCCAACAATATAATATCAAATATAGAGTCTCTGTGTGATATTTGGGGCTGGTGCGTCGGCGGGACTAGACCAGCGGCAACAGGCGGAAAAACCCGTACTCTTTACATAAATGATTCAAAATTTGTTCTGGAGACTGACTTGCTGATTGATTCCTACATTTGTAAAAATAGACATTAACAGCTACTACAATATTGTAAGGCTGGTGGCTGTCAAAAGTTTGATATCCTTGCAAAGAAGATCACAAAACATGATTATTATTAGTATGTTATGGACCATATGCCATAACCAGACACTGATCTTCACATGGGAGCAGTAACTTGAAGGGAGAAAGACAAGGGAAGCCTAACACAGAATTATATAACATTATTGCTACTCTAAGCTTACTCATCAATGATTAACCTGACAAATCTACAGCTCAGTTAAAATAAAATTAAACATTCCCCAAATGACTCCTGAAATAGTGAACAATACAGTACTTGTGCTATGATTGGAAGTAGAGTGATCTATTACTAACTGAAGTAAAACATGACAAATTGAAATGATAATTTCTTATTAAATCACTATATACCATCACAATATCACAATAGCAAGAAAATTATTCATTACATTTATTTACTGATTTTTTTTTTTTTTAGAGGAATTCACTCTGTAGGTCTGGACTGCATTGGACTGTCTTTGCAAGTAGAACCATCTTTGTAATAAAAAATCAAGGCATTTTTTCTAAGAAAAAAAAGCATAGCATTTTAGATACATACACATTAAGCTAAGTATCTGGACCATTTGTGATCTAGTCCAGCTGATAGACAAAATTAACTATCACTGCCCCTCTGGCATGGCCAACTGCACAGACTTCTAATAATTCACACATAAGGAAACACTTGCCTTTACTTTAGTGTTTCCATTCCTATCAAAGTTGGTAGCATGTTTTCTTAGCATACATGAAGACCTGAACTTAGTATCACAATCACCACATAGAACTGGAGTTATTCAAAGCCATTCTTAGGTATATTACTGGTTCCAGGCCAGCTTGGCCTACAAAAACTGTGTCTCAAAAACAAAACAAAATCAACAACTTACCTCCTCAGAACTAGCAAATTATCCTTGGATAATCGAAAAAGAAACTAGCTATACAAAACCTGGCATTAAAAAGTTCCTGAAGACAAAGCCCATTTTGAAAGTCAACACTCAAACATTGTTCTCAGTGCTCTGATTGTTCAATCTCATTTAACAGTTCAGTTATTTTCCCACCACACAACTCATTTTCATTTTCTGATGGAGTCTGCTTCCGGGGGAAGGATGGAAAGGAGAAAGAGAATGTACACTTTTTAAAAATGGGCCATATATTACTCCAACCTTACAAGTTACTCATTCTCTTAGAATACAATCATCATTGATGCATTTCTTACTACTTGGTGGGTTCCTTTCTACCTGCAGCAGGAGCATATAAAAACTAGTGGGGTATTTTTTCAGCTAAATCATTACTCTAAAGCTACAGTTTAAAGCTTGCAGTTTGTTGTTGTACATACATCAAATAGTATTTTATTCCCACAAAGCCTGAGAAAACATATCATATGAATTTCCCCCTTCCCCACTGCTTATGGATGTCATCAATTTCCATCCAGTGTCCACTGTAGAACAGTTTCAGTCCCTGAAAGATTTGTGTCTAAGTTATGTCCTTCTTTGAAGTAAACTCCCTTTGAAAAGTATTAGCATATACTATTTTGCTCTAGATGGAATTATCAAAACATCTGATTGCCTAGGCTTAATTTGTTTGTCAGAACATCCTCTTTATCTCAAAGAAAAGCTTTGACTTTGGAAATCATACCCCCAATATATAATCAGAGAAGCAAAATTTGATCAGTTTCTAATGACCCAACTAATAATGCAATTTCCTCTATTGAGTAGATGTCTGCAAATATAGTAAATTTAGCCACAGTTTGTTACAACTGCACCAATTTTTAGTTTTAAAAGAAGTAGAAGCCTCATAGCTACTACACAGAGATGATTTTTGCCAAAACTTTTAAGCCTATTTTCTGAGAGCCTGTTCAAACACATTTGACAATTCACTTCTGATTCTTAACTTTGATGTCTTCAAGCTCAAAGTTGAGCCATTAAATACACTTTATGAGAAAATACATAGTAAATTTAGAGTTTCAGGTCCAACAATAACTGTAATAATTGAGAGGATCTGGAGTGGCCGGGGGAGGGGAAGGGGAACAGACCTGAGCCAAGATCAGGCCTTTGTATCATTTAGGTTCCCTTGAATGGTCAGAGGCAAGCAAGCAACTCTTAGGAAAACCATAACTTAGGGGCAATCAATCAGCAGACTCCCATGGTCCTTTCTGCCGGCTCAGCAGGCTCCCAAAGCCCCTTCAGCAAACTCCCCCCCCCCCTTGAAGTCTTCTGCTAGGTAAACAAAGCTTTCCCTACTGCTGGAAGGCCCCTAACCACTAGGCATACCATCACTCAGCCCATAGACTAATTTCTCCACCACCAATCAGACACAGATTAATCCCTACAACCTGGAATTTCCCTAAATCAGCTTAAAAGGAGCTGTGACCCTTTTGGGGGTGGATATTTGCCATCTCAACTTGTTGGAATAAACGTGCTCTTGCTTATTGATCTTTTCTTGGGGGCTTCTCTCGGACGCTAACAATAATATTTAAGAAAAAAAATGATAGTGTGCGTGTGTGTGCGTGCCTGTGAGTGTGTGTGTGTGTGTGTGTGTGTGTGTGGTGGGTGGGGTACTGAAAATGTAGGCATCCCAGTTGCTAAAGTAGCTGGATGGTTAATGAGATTTAAGGACTGGCCTTTTTTCTTCTCTTTACATTTGTAAAATAAAACAACAATAAAGAGGGTGGAAAGGGTTTGAAACCATGATCTCCAAGTTTCCCATTATTGAAACAACATATTTAACAATCTGATGCTTTCCTGATGAAAAAGTTCCCATAATTCTTTACGTTGGTGTAGTTCACTGAGGAATCAGCGCAAGTCATAAGCATTTACATTCTTACCTATCTACTAATTTATAAATTTGAAAAGTCTTAATCAAATGGTTCTGGGAAAGTTCTAGAATATAAGGGCCATTTTATCTCATAGTGAGAAATTTACCTCAACAGCAGAATGATTCTTTCCCTTCATTTTTAGCTACCTAAACCTTTCCTGAGAGCTTTAAAAATCCTTCCAGTCCCTCGGGAGTCCCAAGGGAGGGGAAGGGGAGTAAGGCGGGCAAAAACAACAGGAAACTACAAATCCCAGGAGCTGCAGTCATCGCCCCTCCCAATTCCCCCGCCGGTTAATTGAGTTCTCGAAAGCTCAGGTTGAGGCATCCTGTGACGTGCCTGAAAGAAGTGTGCGCGGTTCACCCCAGCTTTTACCGCGGCATCACCCGGCGCCTTTAAGTCGGTGCTAGACGCGAGACTCGACGCAGGGCGGGTGGGCGTGGCGGACATCACCTGTTCGGCGCGGCGCACGCGCAGTGCAGGCACGGTGAGGGGGCGGGGCGCGGGGCGGGGCCGACGGCGCTGGGCGATCGGAGCTTGCCGCTCCTGGGCTGCTCTGGCGCTGAGGCGGCAACCGGGAGGCAGGGCGTGAGAGGCTCGCCTGGCGCTGTCCAACATGGAGGAGCGGCTGGCCGCGGGCGTCGCCTGCGGACCGGACTGAGCCGGCGCCGATCCCCGGGGCAGCCGAGAGGAAGTGCAGCCCCCAGGGCTGTGCACCTGCACGCTTCGGGGCGGACCCCGGCTGGCGGGGCTCGGGCGGCCGCAGGTTTCTGCACCGGGACGTGTCCCGCCGAGCCATGGGCAACGAGGCGAGCTTGGAAGGGGAAGGGCTCCCCGAAGGACTGGCGGCAGCCGCAGGCGGGGCTGGCGGCTCGGGGAGCGCCCTGCACCCCGGGATCCCAGCCGGCGTGGAGGCGGACCTGAGCCAGCTGAGCGAGGAGGAGAGGAGACAGATCGCTGCCGTCATGTCAAGGGCGCAGGGGCTGCCCAAGGGAAGCGTCCCCGGGGCCGCTGCGGAGTCGCCTTCCATGCACAGGCACGCACAGCATGATGGAGATGTCCAGGCATATATGTACCGCTTCCCGTGCACGTATGTGTGTGTGTGTGCCCGCACGGTGGAACATATATGTCGTCTCCCTTCATTTTATTCTCTCTCCCTAATGGGGTGGCAATAAGGCAATCATAAGCTTTGGATGGGCGGAATAAAAATGATGCAATGTAGAGTTTTTGGTGGGATGGTCATGGATTGCATTCTTGGAATTGTGATTTTTAGGTTGTGATTTATTTTTTTTTTTATTTTTTATTTTTTTTAATTTTTTGGCTCTTTGCAACCTTTTCCCTCTAGGGTGGTGTGGAGAGACGCCCTCCAGTGTTTTACTAATCTGGAAATCTTCCATTAATACATCACAGACATGTTGAAAATGAATAGAGCTGGGTTGCGTGTTTACCTGAACGCTTAAATCTCCTTACTGTTCCCAGGTTTTTTTCTCTAAGAATGATGTGTAAATAATCTTGTAACAATACCCTTAGCCCCCTGGAGGTTCTCTCTCCCCAACCTTTCCCCAGAGAACAGCAGCTGCCTAGGTAAAAGGCATAGAATAAATATAGCTTTTATATTCAGTGAGAGGCTCTAAGATATTTTGTGACATTAAACAGATGGATTGGTCACAGCAGAGCAGGTGCTGTACATGTATTTCTGAACTAGCGTATGCTAGTTTTTAAACTATTGCTCTTTTTATGTGAAAATGAATTTTAGTTTATAGAACATGTGAATTTACATTTCCTTATGATTAGGTTTCAATAAACTCCTAAAAAAGGATAAATAAATAAACAAATGACCATTTCCAAGGCAATTATAAAAGCTAATATGTAATATTAAGATTTCCTCTCCAGCTTTCCATTTTCCCCTTTCTAATGAGTTAGTTATTTTCTAATTAGAGTGCCAAGAGGGTATAATCATGCTTTCTCCGCCTTTATTATTGTAAACAAACCCTGTAACTTTATACCCTTCAGCAGAAAAAATATCTATCCATGGTCCTGAAACATCAGTGGTAATAACGGTCAGGAATCACACAATTTTGACTTGAGATGCTGAAAGTATGAAAGAGCTGAATATATAGGTGTAGAATGCTCTAGTTCATAAACTTAAAAAGCCTTTCATCTTAGCTGCCAGAATGCAAATACAAAGTGCACTTTTGCCAAATATTATAATAAAGCTATCAGAGAAGCACTTTAAATTTCATAAGGGTAGTGATCATGTTTTCATGTAATTTTGAAATTTTAGGAATCTGTCAGGTGAAAAAAAATCACTGTTAGAAAGGAAACATAGTAACATGGAAATTAAACCCCAAATTTAATTTTTTATTGTTTTAAAGCTTATAAAGATTTGGCCTTTTTCTTTAATTATTTACAAGAGGAGCTGTTGTTCTCCGTTTGCTAAAATCCTGACTGAAAAAAAATGTACATTTAGCAAATCATTTTAGGATAATAATGAGCTGCAGTGTTTTTCTTCTCCAGAAATATAATTTTTTCAGAGGGACACATGCAACAGGTCTAGCATGGTTGCAAATACAGCTGAGATCTTTGGTGTTTGGCTTTCTACCTATGCTTTGGTATAGGAGATGGCTGAAGAAATACCTCTGCCCACAATAACTGTTACTTTATGTTGTATGTGTATTGCAGTATACATTGGAAGTTTCTTATTAGCAACTGGAAACATTGGGATTGTTATTAATAAGCAGTTTCTGCCCTCAACTGCAATTGGTAAAGGTTTGTAAAAGACATGCACACATATTTTTTTTGTTGTTGTTTTTTTGGAACACATATTTTCCTACAGTATTTCTACAAAAAATAATTTTGAAAACTATGTATGATATTGACAGGCTCACTTGACCTTGTCATTTAGACTTTCAGGATCATATTCATTAAATATATGGGTATATAAAGGTCTAAATTGCTTCAGGCTTTAAGAATCTAAGAGATGTGCATTAGACCATTAGACAAGGCAGAATTAATTTATCTTACTTTACTTTTAGGAGTAAGGATTTTCAGCCCTACAACTCAGGTTCTTATTGTATTGACTTTTTGTGATTCATAGCAAATTAATATGTGTTTCTGCACACATATTTGTCTCAGATTCCTTGCCTGTAAAGGAGATAATAAGACCTGCCTTACCTATCTCAGGAAGTAATTCTGAGAATGACTCAAAAGTTTATAGGGATGATTTTTTCTGGATTTTTCATATTAAGGAATATGAAAAGTATAAATCATGGTGGTCTCGATGCTAGCAATAGAAAAGTCTCAATCATGGCCACAAACAAGCTGTGTTTTGTATTATTTATTGTGTTAGAAACACTAATGATACAAATTTATATTCCTTTACATATGGATAAGTGAGAGTCCTCCCAGAAGCACTCCAACTTCCTTACCTAGTTTTATGACTTTGAATTATACTCTTGGCTTTTGAAATTCCATATCCTCTCTAGTATAAATGTGAATAGATATTTCTTTGGATTTTTATTTCTGATGTGGAATATTTTATGTGACTCAGCACTGTCAAATTAAGTGTCATTGACTGTTGTGTTTCATTTAAAAACATTTTATCATTCCAGCTGCTTCTATATTTTTATATTTGCATATGCCTGAAATACCATTTTATCTGAAACAGTTTCTCTATTAACTTATGAAAGAAAGGTTCTAGTCTGGAAATCGAAATAGTAAAATAAAAAAGGATGTGCAATTAAACACAAATAACTTAAGCTTGTCTCAGAGTAAGGTTACAAACAAAGTTCTTTTTGATATTGATTCATTGTAGACCTAGTGGAAGACAAATTTATTCCTACTCTTCATTTTATTCATGAACGTGATGAGATTGCTTACTGCACAACTTTTCTGAGAGAAGATTAGAACTGTGAATTGATGGTTTCCTTTAGTGTTCCTCTGAGCCTCCCCTACTGAGCAGCCATCTGCTCCACTTTCTGTTTGTTTTACTTTTAATATTGAACAATAGATCAAGTCCAGATTCTAAAGTGAATATGAGAAGTGATCATTTAAAATCTTAGCAAACCTTTAGAAGACTTTGATGTGAAAAGAACTCAAGAAACTTGAATCTAGAGTGATGCACAAACCTGTTAGTTTCATTCATCAGTTTTCACATTGTGAACCATTCATTTATTCATTGATTCATCAAGCATTAATGCTTTTCTCCTAGTTGCCAGGTTTGATTATAGCAATGTGCTCTTCCAGCTCACAGGTCAGTGTACAAGCAGATTGCATTTTAGTTCATGTCTTAGCAGAATGGTTGTTATAGCAAGCAGCACAGGAGATCACATTTACTCAGACCACTTTACCTTTTTGTTTGGTGTTAAGATGCTATCTTCATGGTTTTTTCTCTGTTTTTCTTCCTTCTTTCCTTCCTTCCTTCCTTTCTTTTTCCTGAATTACATAATAATAGCAATTAAAACCAAGTTAGAATCTGGGGACAGCCTTTGTAGCTATATAAATCTTTTCTAACAACACACCTTAATATTTGTATGATGTTTATGCAATTGTAATGTGTTACAGTGTGTGGCCCATGGGACGTATTTTAAATTTTGGTGTTTTCTGTTACCTCAAATATTTGGTATTTGTGAAGGTTTTTTTTTCCACTTGTGATTACACATACATTGGATTAACTGAAGAAACAGCATCAAAATACACAGATTAATATAAGTTTAATAGTATTTTCAGAAAATGACAGTTTAATAAAACCAAGAATATATTTCTTCCACCTTTGTTAAAAGATAACTTTCAAAAACTACATACAAAGGTATAGTTTAGTGAAATTCCCAAATAATTACTTTTAAGATAAACACAAACTATAATGGTGTCCTTTCAAGGGAGTTTTGCATTATATTAATTGAATGCAGTAACTTTTCCAGAATAATGTCAAAATCTATACAATGTACCTCTTTAGAAATTACCTACTTCAGTTATGTACAACAGCTCTTCTGCCTTCTGAAGGGGATAGTGTAGGGGGACAGACAGGCTGTCCCAAGAAGTCATTCTTACATTATGTCCAAATGTAAATATATAGCAATGATTTTTTTAAAATGTGTCACAGAGTTTTGGAAAGTAACTCGGGAAATAGTTTTGGGTCTCTTTTAAAATGAAAGCTTTGTAAACAATTCCAGGAGAATCTACCTAAAGTCTTCTCTCATAGCTAGTATTAATATTATACAGTGCTGGCATTAATTCCAGGATCCTGTACGCGCCAGGTAGATGTTGTACCAGAGAACTACACTCTAACATATTTACTCATTTTATTACATCATTTTATGCATATATGCCAGTGGAAATAATTTTCTTTCTGAGCCTTTGCTATAAGCAATACTTTTTCATTTCTCTCAACATTGTCTTAGATCCTGTGTTATGCTGTAAGCACTAGGGAAGGTCTGAAGAAAATTATTAAATAGCACAAAGTTAAAAACATGAGGCTGTGGCCCTAACTAGCCAATTTTGACCAACTGAATAAATGATGTAGAACTCTATTGTGACCATCTTATATTTCGGGTGCTTCCAAATCATTATTTCATTTTCCTTGTGTCTTTCAAAGAGAGATACATATTTTCCAAATGTAAAAATAACAAATAAAACAAAACTACTTTCTGGTTTTCTCCACAGTTATAGTGTGGAATGCAATTAGTTGCCCATTTGTTGTTGATGAAAATGGCTTATTCAAAATTTAACATACCTATTATGACTGTTGGTTAATATATATAATGTATCTATGAATGAAAGTTCTATTTTAATTATTCAGTTCAAATCACTTAAAGTTTATCACATTTGCAGAATTTTTAAAAAGAAATAATTTTCTTGTAAAACTACTTGCCATACCTCTCTACCAATGTCAGTGACAGTAGATAAGATAATGTAACTAACATTGTATGAAGCTGTTCTATATTTTCTTCCACCAAGGAAAGTAATAGCACTTTTCAAAAATGGGATTCTAGCTCGTTTCATGCTGTTTGGCTATCCAGCTATATCTCTAAGCCTTAGCTGTGATGCTGCATGAAGTCTTCACATTAATAATTAACTATTAGAAAAGATAAAGTGATATTGGTCTTGTACAAGTTTAGTAATTAACCTATAATCTTTATAAAGTTTAATGAGGATAGTGTTTGATGAGTGTTACCATTCTAGGTAGAAGAGAGCAAAAGTGAGAAAAGCATTAGATTTCTTGGAATGCTAAAAGGTGTCATTTAGCGCCATTACTACAAACTCACCTAAATGTCACACCATGAGCCGTATGTAACAAAGATGAATTATCAAAACTAAGTAAAAACAAAGCTAACAAGCTCTTATATTTTAAAATTAGCACTTTTAATTCTTAAACCTCTTTGTTTTTCCTTGACCACAATTTTTGACTGAAAATGAAATAGAGATAGTCACATATGTATTACAATATGACATTACATTGACTACTGCAGTTTTACTTTTTAAATCTATATGTTATATTCTAAGTATATTTATGTAAGTTTATATTGTTTGATCACATAAAATTTTCATCATCATCAAGCTGCTTTTGCTACACTATCTTGTTGAAAATTTCTACCCATTGAAAAATAACAGAAGCAATGCTCTATGATCAATATAGGTTGCAACACAAATTGCGTCTGCATACATTTGGGCTAAAAGAAAACAATAATTTTATGTATTTATTTGAATTGAAATAACTTCCACTATTTTCATTTTCCAGGAAACAAGAGTTGGAGAGTAGTCAGCCTCCCAAGCAACCAGGAAAGCCACCGGACCCTGGGCGTCCCATTCAGCCTGGACTCAGTAAAAGTAGAACTACAGACACGTTTAGGCCCGAGCAGAAATTGCCTGGAAGGAGTCCGTCCACTATTAGCTTGAAAGAATCAAAGTCCAGAACTGATTTTAAGGAAGAGTACAAGTCTAGTATGATGCCTGGTTTTCTTTCAGATGTTAACCCTTTAAGTGCTGTCTCCTCTGTGGTAAATAAATTCAACCCTTTTGATTTGATATCAGACTCTGAGGCATCCCAGGGGGAAACTACAGGGAAACAAAAAGTTGCTCAGAAGGATCAAGGGAAATCAGAAGGAATCACAAAACCCCCCTTACAGCAGCAGTCACCCAAGTCAGTTCCTAAACAAGAGCCAGTGAAGGAAGTGATACAGCAGGACAGCTCTCTCAAGTCAGCATCGTCTCAACAAACAGAAAAAATAAAACCACAACCCTCCAGCCCAGGAAAGCCTTCCCAGGCATCTTCCCAGCCCCCACATATGGACCAGGCAAAGCTACCTATTCAAAGAGATGCAGCCAGGCCACAGACTAAATCTTCAGACCCAGGAAAGCCTTCCCAGCAGAGCCCAGCCAAAACACCAGCTCAGCAACCAAGTCCTGGGAAATCTGTAACCCAACAGCCTGGACCTGCGAAGGCCTCAGTCCAACAGCCAGGGCCAACAAAGTCCCCAGCTCAAGCAGCAGGGACAGTGAAACCTCCAGCCCAACCTCCAGTAACATCCAAGCCCTCAGCACAGCAGGCTGGAGTCGAGAAGACTTTGCCTCAGCAGCCTGGGCCAAAGTCTCTAGCTCAGGCTCCTGGTCTTGGAAAACTTCCACCGGGGCCACTAAAGTCCCCAGCCCAGCAGCCAGGGACAACAAAATCCCCAGCTCAACAGCCTGTCCAGCAGCCTCTGGCTAAGGTACCAGGGTCAGCAAAGACTCCAGCTCAGCAATCTGGACCTGGAAAGACACCAGCTCAACAACAAGGCCTAGGGAGGCTTTCACCTCAGCAGCCCATTCCAGCAAAGCCTCAGCCTCAGCAGCCTACCCCAGCAAAGCCCCATCCTCAGCATCCCGCCCCAACAAAACCCCATTCTCAACAGCCTGCTCCAGCCAAACCTTCAGCTCAACAGCCTACTCCAGCAAAGCCCCAGCCCCAACAGCCCACTCCAGCAAAACCCTCAGCTCAGCAGCCAGCTCCAGCAAAACCCTCATCTCAACAGCCTGTGAAACCAAGCCAAATGGTAACTGGGAGACCTCTGCAGCCACCACCACCATTGGCAGCTCAGACTTCAGGACATGATCTCTCTAAAACCATCTGTCCCCTTTGCAACACCACTGAACTTCTGTTGCATATTCCAGAAAAGGCCAATTTTAACACATGCACTGAGTGTCAGACCACCGTCTGTAGCCTCTGTGGTTTTAACCCCAATCCTCACTTAACTGAGGTGAGTACATTTATTAGTACAAGCTCCATAAGCATAGGCACTGCCTACACATGGTGCCTGTTTTGTTACTTAGGAAGGGAGTGCTTATTTCTCCCTCTCTTCATCTCTCTCTCTCCTCTTTCTCTTTCTCTCTGTCTCTCTGTCTCTCTCTGTCTTTGTCTCTCTCTCTCCTCTCTCTTTTTCCTCCCTCGCTTTTTCCCTGTCAATTGTTAACTTATGTTAGGTAATATTCCCTTGAATGAAAGTCCTAGGATATTGCCACAATTTGTGAAAATGTGACATCTAAAACAAATATGAATTGAAGGAAAGGAACTGAAGCCCTACATTATTTATTATTTAGCACAAACTGATATTGCTTTAATTTTAAAACTGATGCTCCTGCCCACTTACCAGATTTTGTTATTATTGTTATGATTTGTTTTTGTTTTGTTTTGTTTTGTTTTTTGAGACAAGATTTGCCATGCCATGCAAGTTGACTTAGAATTCTTTATGCAGCTCAGGTTGCTTCTAACTTGTGGTCTTCCTTCTACAATCTTCCAAACTTCTGAGTTACAAGAATGCTTAGCCCTACCCAGCTCACATTTTGATGCTATTAACTGTGATCATATTTGCATTTAAGAAACTGGATAGATATTTTTAAATTACAAATATCTTTACTATTAAAAGGAGTAGTTTTCAATTTGCACATGCCCCTTCCCAGTTGTTGATTCTTCTATATTGGATGATGATATACCCCATTAGCTGAGAATCACTGGTAACAACAGGGGTTAATCCACAAAATGAAGTTATTAAAGTCGACTCATCATTGATATGTGTGCACTCAGAAGATGTGTTGATGTCAGTTACCTAGGGCACCAGATCTCATTATAGATGGTTGTGAACCATGTTGTGGGTGCTGGAAATTGAACTTAGGACTTCAGGAAGAGCAGTCAGTGCTCTTAACCTCTGAGCCATCTCTTTGGCCCTTGTTAGTTATCTAGGTAACCTGCTTAAACATCAAATCAAAAGGGACCAAAAGTGATGACTACTAATTGTCTCCAATTAGTGTTGATAGAACAATTCTCAGGTAGTCATTAAGTATTAGCTTAGCAGATAAAGGCCTGGAATAAAGTAGTATTTTAATAGGTTGATGTTAGGTATACTGTAGAGGGAAGGCACTATCACAGTGTAGTGGAAACATTAGAAAATTCTCTGAATTAAAAAAATTAAAAATATGTTTTTTTTTGTTTTTGTTTTTGTTTTTGTTTTTTCTGGATCTGGGTTTTCTCACTCAGGATGAGTTTTTTCTAAATTTATCCATTTACCTGCAACTTTCATGATGTCATTTTTTTTTATGGCTGAGCAATTCTCTATTGTTTAAATGTATCATATTTTCTTTATCCATTCATCTTTTGAGGAACATCTAGGTTGTTTCCAATTTCTGGTTTTTATAAGTATAACAGCAATTAACATGGTTGAGCAAGCGTCTGTGGCAGGATGGAGTGTCCTTTGGGTATATGCCCAAGAGTGGTATAGCTGGATCTTGAGATTGATGGATTCCCATCTTCCTGAGAAACTCCATACTGACTTCCATACAAGTTTGTAGTCCCACCTGCAATGGTTTTAGGTTTCCCTTACTCCACATCCACTCAAGCATGAGCTGTCATTTGAATTGCTCTTCTTAGCCATTTTGACATACTAAAAATTAAATATGGAAGTAGTTTTGATTTGTATTTTCTTGATGGAAGAATAGTAAACATTTTAAGTATTTCTTAGTCATTTGAGTTCCTCTTCTGAGAGTCCTTTATTTACATCTGTACAAAGTTTTTTTTGTTTTGTTTTGTTCTTTGTTTTCTTAATATAGTTTTTTGAATTCTTTATTTATTTTAGCTAGTAAGCCTCTATTTAATTATATTTGAGAAAAACTTTTTTTTTCCTTTTAATAGGCTGCCTTTCCTTTTAATTGTCTGAATGACAGTGTTCTTTGCCAAACAGAAGCTTTTCAGTTTTATGAGGTCCCATTTATTAAATGTTGAGCTTAGTGTCTATGCTAATGGTATTGTGTTAAGAAAGACTTTTCTGGTGTTAATGAGTTAGAGGCTATTTCCCACTTTCTCTTCTATCAAGGTCAGTGTTTCTGGTTTTATGTTCAGGTCTTTGATGCACTGGAGTTGAGTTTTGTGGAGAGTGATAAGTATGGTTCTATTTGCATTCTTCATGCTGGCATACTTCTATAAGCATTAGTTGGGGGGGATAATACATAATAGGGAATATGAATCATTTTTATCTAGTCAACATCACAATAAATGTGTGTCTTGGATGTGAATATAGAACTTTCAATATCTGTTTTTAATATAGAAAATGTTGAATTCACATGGTTCAGTCTAGGAATATAAGGTGTTAATAAACCACAAAGCAACATGTTATGTGGAGAGATCAGACAGGTACTGAATTCTTTCACAAGTCTACATAGGATTTTATTTGAGTACTTTTATTCCCTGATTGTAATTTTTTGAACAGAAAAATAAATGAAATCTAAGGTGTCCTCTGGAGAAAGAAGAAATAATGTGAAAAGAATGATAATATAAAGCTAATGTGAAAGATTGGATCTTAAGGGCAGAGGCAAAGTTTTGTGGTCTTTTTTAATTTCAGGACACCTGATCCCTCATACCATATAAAAAGTGTGTTCCGTCTTTTGGAAGACAGTGGTTAGTGGGCTGTCTATGCATTGTGTCTGAGAATACTGGGGCAATAACACAACAGGAAATGAAGGAGTATATGATATAAATATTTTTAAGACATAGGGTTGCAAACTCTATTTATAAATGAAATTGTGTTAATAATAAAAATGGGGATTGATAGTCATTAAATTATAATGTATGAGAAACACGATGTTTTAAAATTTGTCAAGTGTTATTTGATTTTTGAAGTATTTTAGTTTTGTAATAAAAGGCGTTATTGGGTTCTATACCCACTTAAATGAACCATTTTTTACTTAAAAAATACAATTAATAAGAACACAGCATTATATGATCTTATAAATGATAGACAGAATCATATTGCAATTAGGTGTGTGTGTGTGTGTGTGTGTGTGTGTGTGTGTGTGTGTGTGTGTGTTTGTAGCTTTTTAAGGAGGCAGCCAGAGCTCTGTGAATTAGAGACCTGCCTGTTCCAGGACAGGCTCCAAAGCTACAGAGAAACCTTGTCTCAGAAAAAAAGAGAAAAATCAAAAACAAAAAACTTAATAAAGTTGTAATTTGACCCATACTATACTGCTTTGATAATGATACAAGAAAATGGTTTGAAAGATGATGGATTATTCATTTGATAATTGCATTTATTATACTTCAGTGGCAAGTCACAAAGCAAAAAAATACATTTGGAAATATACATTTCATTTCTTGTTTATATGCCCAGTATTTGGAAGATAGATATTATATTTTTTTTCTATTTGTAGTGTTTTATTATGTAATATTTAACCCTTTTTTACATTTTTATAACTTTTATTTAATTTTTTTCTTATTTAACATATTGATCTCAGTTCCCTCTACCTCCCATCCTCCCATACCCACCACAGATTCCCCCCATTTCATCCCCCATCTACTCCCCAGGGAATATGTTATGAGTTGTTTTTTCCTGCCAGCCTTGTCCCACCACCACACCAGCCCCCAATAATACACTGAGACTCTGTATTAGATATAAAGCTGTAGGTCAGTTACTTGTTTCTTATCTGCTAGCTCTGTCTTAATTATTAACCCATTTCTATTAATCTGAGTATTTCCATGTGGTCTTATCTTACCGGGGAGAGGGGCTGGCATTCTTCTCTCTATCCTCCCTCTTATTTCCTCTCTCCTCCTAATCTCCTACTCCTCCCTATCTTGCTCTCCTATTGGACAACAGTGCTTTATTCATTAACCAGTAAGAGAAACATAATTACAGAATGACATCTCCCATCATCTTCTCTTTTTATGTCTAAAATAAAAAGAAGGGTTTTAACCTTACTATAGCAAAATGTATAACAAAACAGTTATCAAATAAGAACCATAGTTAACAATATTTAGTTCATTAACATTTAGCAAGATTTAAAGAAAATATTTCATCATCTATTCTATCTTTGTGAGTATGAAGTCCTATATGTAACTTATCTTTAATCCTAACTAAAGAAAACTATAACCATAACTGTCTTCAACTCCTTCAAAGACCACAGAAGGACAATATATAAACTCTAGAAATGACAGAGACAACTTGATTCCTGGTCAGTCACCTAAAGTTCTTCTGTAATGTTCCATCTTCAGCCCATAGGCTATAGTGTGTCTGGCAGACTCCTCAGCAAAGCAGGAAACTTTAAACTGTCCATCTGTATTGGCAGTTTGTCAGTTGCTTTTCTCTGTGTCCTTCAGATTGTCTGGCAGATTCTTCTATGAAGCAGGAACACTATAGCAATGTCAATCTTGTATCAGCAGTCACTGTCCTGTGGGTCCTGCATGTCCAGTTTATACAGCATAAAGTCAAACAGTCCAGACAAGAGCAGTATCTTTCCCAAATGGCTAGTATTGCCATACTGAAAGCAAATTCCATAATGTGTTTCTTCAAGGTCCATCTTCCTTTCTGATGCATGTGCCAGTTGTGCCTCACTGTTAAGAAAATCCCTCAACCATTTTAAATGCCATATTATGTAGGTCTTTGAAAGGTTTGAAGAATACCTATCCATCTCAAAATCATCTCTGTGTATCTTGAAAACCTAACTAACTTAACTCTAAGTTTTGATTATCATAGGTAATTATCTATAATCTATATTAAATTATATATTACATTTTTAAATGAGCTATATAAACATAACACCTAAACAAGAGGAGAAATATATACATCACAAAATTGACCTTAAATTGTATCAATACATGAAAATCCATTTTAAAACAAAGTATTCATCTCTATACCATAATCCTCTTTTTACCTTTAAAGGAATTGATTGTGATCATTATTAACCATTTATAACCAAGCCCATTTAAATGACAACAAAC